AGTCGCGCGCGGCCGCACGGCGCGGCCGCGGCGGAGCTCGCGGCGCGGCTCGCGGACCCCGCGGCGCCGGCCTGCGCCCTCGACCTCGGCGCCGAGCTCGCCGCGCGGTGCCGCGCGGCGCTCGGCGACGCGCGCGACGTCGCCGTGGCCCTCGACGCCACGTCACACGACGGCGACGCGCCGCGGCGCCGCCGCGCGGCTCTCGCATTGGCCGAGTGGGACGACGCCCCGGGCGCCGCGGCGGCGCCCCGCGCGCGCCTCGGCGGCGCGTCCGCGGCGTCCGCGCCCGCGTTCCTCTACGCCGTGGGCCCGGCGATAGCGGCCAAGGCCGCGGAGCGCCGCGGGCCCTTCTGGGGCGGCGGCGCCGCGGCGCTCGAGCGGCTCCGGCGCCGCGGCGACGTCGGCTTCGCGCGGCCGCTCCTCGACGTCGGGCGACGCCAGGCGGCGGCGGCGGACGCGCCGCCGTGGACGCGGGCCGCCGCCGCGGAGTTCGAGGCCGCGCTCGCCGCCGCCTGCCGGCGCAACGGCGACGCTTCCGTCGCCGACGGCCTACGGGCGGCCGTCGCGGCGCGCGGCGCGGCCGCGGACGACTGGCGCCTCCGGTTCGGGGCGCCGCCGCTCGTCGCCTACGAGGCCGCGAAGGCAAACCCCGGGAATCCCGGCGCGGTCGCCGCGTGCCTCGACGCCGCGCTCGACGCGGCCGAGGGCCTCGGCGGTGGAGTCTTGGGTACCAACTCCACCGGCCGGCTCCCGGGCCTGCGGTTCCTCGCGGAGAAACGGGCGCTCGCGGACGACGCGGGCGACGCGGCGAGCAAGCGCGAGTACGCCGGCGCGTGGCTCCGCAAGGCGCTGCTCCTGTGCGCGCGGTCCGACGTCGACCTCGGCGCCACCGCGGCGTCGCGCCTCGCGGCCCTCGTCCCCGGCTGGGCGCCCGCGGGCGCGCGCGCGCTCGACGCCGCGGCGTGCTGCACCAGAGTCGCGCCGGCCTGCGCCAAGGCCTGGGGCCTCGCGGGGCGCCTCTTCGCCGCCGCGGGCGCGCGGGACGACGCCGCGGCGGCCCTCGGCAAGGCGCTGGAGCTGGGCGACGCCTGCGGCCCGCGGACGCACGCCGTCGCCGTCGCGGGCGCGCGCCTCGTGCTCGACGGCGAGTCGTCGCCGGGCGTCGACGCGCTCGCCGACGCCACGCCGCCGGAGGCCTGGCGCCGCGTCGCGCCCCAGCTGCTGGCCGCGTGCTTCGGCGCCAAGGTCGGCGCCGACTTTGGCGAGAAGCCCTGGTTCCGCCTATTGCGGCGCGTCGCGCTCCACGCGCCCAAGGCCGGCGTCCACGCGGTCGTCGTCGCGTGCCGCGAGGCGCGCCGGGACCGCAAGAGCCACGCCGACGACATGGACGCGCCGAGCAGCCCCGGCGCGGCGTTGCACGCGGCCTCGGCGGCGCCGGCGTCGGGCTGGGCGCGCGCGGCCGCGGCGACGCGGACGCTGCGGGCCGAGCTCGCGCTCTCGGGCGTGCTGCGCGGCGCGGAGCTCTGCGGTCGACGACCTGCAGCAGATCGCGACGCTGCCCGACGACCGCTGGCGCGCGGCGCTGAACAAGGCCGTGGTGCGGCGCCTCGAGGACGCGGCGCTCGTGCTCAAGCGCGAGCTCCGGCAGTCCGTGTTGGAAGTAAAAGGCGGCGAGTCGTCGGAGCCCGTGTCGAAGGAGCGCCTCGACGAGCTCGTCGACGTCGCCTGCCTCAAGCGCAAGTGCGTCGCGGCGCCCGCGCGGCGCGCGCTCGAGAAGGCCGCGGAGGCGCTGCTCCGGGCCGACGCCCAGGGGCCGGGCGGCCGCGACCCCTACGGCGACGCCTTCGACCGCAAGGCCCGCGCGGCCGTCGACGCCGCGCGGTCGTGCCTCGACGACCCGCCGCGGCCCGCGGTGCTCGCCTACGTGAAGCGCGTGCTCAAGCAGGTCGACAAGAAGAAGGCGGCGGCCGCGGACGGCGACGACGACGACGACGACGCCGTCGACTCGTTCCGCGCGGCGCTGGACGCCTTCGGCGAGCTCCGCGGCGACGCGCGCGCGGACGCGGGCTGGGAGGCCGAGACCGTCGCGCCGCGGCTCAGCGACGGCCAGCTGCTCGACGCTGTTGCTGATGATCGGCGCGGCGCGTCGGCTTCCGAGCACGACTGCGAGGTCCACTTCCCCGTGTCCGGCGGCGACGGCGGGTTCTGCCGCGTGGCCCGCCTCGTCGAGCACGTCGTGCCCCTGAATTCCAAGACGCGGCCCAAGAAGCTCACGTTCGCGTGCGGCGACGGGTCCCGGCGGTCGTTTCTGTTGAAAGGAGCGGAGGACGTGCACCTCGACGAGCGCGTCATGCAGCTGCTGACGACGATCCGCGAGGCCGTCGCGCTGGCGGCCAAGGGCGGCTTCGCGCCCCACGTGTCGACCTACGCCGTGCTCCCGCTGAGCCGGTCGAGCGGGTTGATCGAGTGGGTGCCGCAGACGCGGCCGCTCATCGACTTGTACCGCGACGCGACGTGGAGCCGGGGCCTCACGTCGGCCATCGCCGAGCGCCAGGCCAAGCTCACGAAGAACGGCGAGGAGCCGGAGAAGCCCGAGGCGTCGTCGAAGCGGTCGCGCGCGTCGAAGAAGAAGCGCGGCCGCCGCGCGGCCGAGCACGACGACGACGACCGGCCCGACGACCGCACGGCCCGCGAGCTCCAGTACGAGGCTCTACCGAAGGGCTTCCACGCGGAGCTCACCAAGCGCGGCGTCGACGCGTCGGCGCCGCGCCAGCAGTGGGACGCGGCGGCGGTTAGAGCGTCGTACGACGCGCTCGCGAGCGACGCGCCGCGCGACATGGTCGAGCGCGAGCTCGCGCGGTGGAGCGAGGGCGGCGACGACTGGTGCGCCCGGCGGCGGACCTACGCGGCGCGTTTGGGCGGGTCCTGCGTCGCGAACTACGCGCTGGGTTTAGGCGACCGCCACCTGGAGAACGTCTTGCTCGACGTCCGCGACGGCTCGGTCGTCGACGTCGACTGGGGCGTGTGCTTCGACGCGGGGACGCGGCTGCGCGTGCCCGAGGCCGTGCCCTTCCGCCTGACGCCGGCGCTCCGCTTTCCGTTGGGGCCCGCGGGCTGCGCCGCGGGGCCCTTCGCGGCCGCGGCGCGGAAGACGGCGCGCGCGCTCGGCGGGCCCGCGGGCGCCGCGGTGCTCGAATTACTGGAAGTCGTCGCGAACGACGCGCGCGTCGAGTGGCGGGCGACGCTGGGCCACGGCAAGCGCCTCAAGGGGCCCGAGGACGGCCAGGGGGCGCCCGCGGCGCCGCACCACGACCGCTTCGCGACCTTGGCGCTCTCCGCGGCGCGGTGCTTCGAGCAGCGGCGCAAGCTCGTCGCCGACGGCCTGCACCGCGGCGACGTGCTCGCCGCGGCGCTCGACGCGCGGTCCGCGGCGCTGGATGCGCTCGCCGTGGCCCAGGGGGGCCACGGCGACGCCGAGGCGCCCAAGCTCCGGGAGAAGTCGCGCGCGGACCTCGGCGCGGCCGCCGCGGCCTGCAAGCAGGCGAGCGGCCGGCGCGCGGCGGCGGAGCACGCCATGCAGGCCGCGGCGCGGGCGCGCCAGGCCTCGGAGGACGACCGCGCGGCGCTCTTGGACGCCGCGCGGCGGCGGTCCGCGGGCCGCGACGAGGTCCGCGCGTTGCTCGCGTCGCACGGCGCGGCCGTCGTCGGCGAGCTCAACAAGCGCGGGGCCGTGTTGCTCGCTGCCGGTTCGGTCTCGACGGCCGACGGGTCCAACGCGCCGCCGCTGCCCCTGGGCCAGCTCCGGGAGATCTTCGCGGCCGCCAGGGCAGCAAAAGGGTGATTCAACTTCGATTCAACATGAGTGTTCCGCGCGCGCGCGTTCCAAAAAAAGCATCCACGCTTCGAGACCGTTCCGAGAGATGATCGCTCGTCCAAAAATCAGCCAAAACGAGTGGAAAACGGCCGAGATATGAGCCTTTGAAGTTGGGAATTTCGCACCCTTTTGCTGCCCAGGCGGCCGCGCCGGGGCTCCGGGATTTGGTCGCCGCGCTCCGCGACGACGACCTCCTAAACGACGGCGCGCGCCTCGCGCGCGAGGCCTTCGAGGCGCGCAAGCGCCACCGCGCGGCGACGTCGTCCCTCTTCAGCAACCCCTTCTTCCCGACGCCCCAGTCCGCGTGGGGCGCGTCGACCGACGGAGCGGCCGCGTTCGCGTCGGGCGCGGAAAGGCTGCGCGCCAAGGCCGACGAGCCCAGCGACGAGGACGAGGAGAAGGCTTTGCGGGCCTTGGAGGACCAGGTCGCGGCCTTCCGGTCGTCGCTGGGGGACTCGTCGCTCGCGGCCGCGCGCGCGCTCGAGGCGTCCGCGGCGGCGCTCGGGTCGTTCTCGCCGTTCGTCGCCGCCGCGGGCGACGCGGACTCGGGCGACGCCGTCTTAGCGAAAGCTTTGAGCCTCGAGGTGCGCCTGGCCGACGCGGCGCAAAGATTGGACGTCGCCGCGGGCATCCGCGTCGACGACGGCGACCGGCGCGCGCGCGCGACGGCGACGCTGCGGGCCGCGCGCGGCTCCGCGCGCCGCGCGGGCCGGTCCATGCTCCGCGGCGACCCCAAGGTCGTCGACGTGGCTTTTGGCGGCGCTCTGAAAGCGTTGAAGCGGACGCTGGACGCGACGCCGTCTTTAGGGGACGTGGACGCGGCCGTCGCGAACAGCGCGAACCCATCGTTTCCGCAAGAGCGCGTCGCGTCGTGCGCGACGCGGGTCCAGAAGCTCGTCGCGCGCCTGCTGGGGCCCGACGCCGAGCCGGGCGCGCTCCACGATGTTGCGTTAGCTCTAGCGGAGCTCGACGACGCCGACGCCGAGGACGCGTGTCTGGCCGCGGGCGGGCGACGAGGCGCCGCGGCCGTCGCGCTCCAACGGTTGGACGCGCTGCGGGACGCGGCGCTCGGCCTGTCGGCCCTCTACGACGAGGCGGAGATCGCCGACGACACGGGCGCGCGGTGTTTAGCGGTGGCCAAGACCTGCGACGGCGCGAAACGGGTCTTGAGGGACGCCGCTCGGCTCTTCGCGGCGACGGTGCTGTCGAAGGCGGACCGGAGCCGAGACGGCGCGCGCCACTGGCGCGACCTCGCGATCCGGGCGCTGGAGACGTCGTCGGGCGACGACGGCGACGCCTGGCGCGCCTGCGTCGCCGTCGTCGAGTCGGAGGCGCCGGACGACGCGACGCTGCTCCGCGCGCTCGACGCGTTCTTCGATCCCGTGGTCTCCGGGTTAAGGGACGTCGACGGCGAGGCCGCGGCGCGCGGCGCGCTCCGGTGCAAGCGGAGCGCGGCGCTGGGGTTGCTGCGCGCGCGCGAGCGCGCGCTCGTCGACGGCGACCTCGAGGCCGCGGAGGAGGCGGCCGCGGCGGCGCTCGGCGCGGCGGCGCGCGCGTCGTGCGCGCCGCTCGAGGCGGCCGTGCGCCGGTCCTTCGAGGGCGCGGGCCGCCGCTTCCAGGCCATGACGCACCAGGGCGTCAAGTGCGACGCGGCCGTGAAACTGAGCGCCCTGGCGGCGGCGACGCAGCTCGACGCGTTCCTGGAGCAGCTCGAGTCGGGCGACGCGCGGAACCGGTCGGCCGGGGCCGCGCGGCGGCGCCGCGACGCCTACGACGCGGCCGTGGACGCGTTCGCGTCGCGCCACTGCCGGAGCCTGGTCCACGCGACCTTCGAGGCCCGGGCGGCGGCGACGCGGGACGACGCCACGCTGGACGCCGTCGCGCGGCGCGCGGCCGCCGCCGCGGAGCGGCTCGACGGCGCGGCGGCCGCGCTCGCGGCCGCGGCGGAGAGTCTGGAGACGTCGACGCGGTCGCTCCGGTCCGCGGCGCCCCTGGGCCCGGCGCCGGTCGTGACCGCCCTCGAGGCGCGGGTCCAGGCGCCGCCGCCGTCCGACGACGACGCGGGCGCGCCCGCGAGACTGGCGTGGCTGCGGCGCGCGCAGGCGCGGACGCGCGCGTACCGCGCGGCCGTCGACTGGCTCGAGGACGCCAAAAAAGCCGTCACGGGCGCCTTGGACCTCGACGCCGACGCGGCGGTGGCCGACGAGGGCGACGACGGCCGGTCCGAGGCCGCGGGGAAGCGCGTCGAGGCCGCGCGCGACGCCGAGGACAAAGCCACGCGCGCGTGGGCGGACGCGACGGACGCGTGGGAGGCCTGCGACGCGCGGCTGAAAGCGTTGCGCGACGCGGAGAAGCGCACGGCCCTGCGCAAGGAGTCCCTCGTCGCCGCGGCGAAGAAGGCCGCGGCCGCGCGGCGCCGCGTCGCCACGTCGTCGCCGGGCCAGGGCGCCGCCGCGGCCGCGCCGACGGCGACCGTCGCGGTGCCCGGGTCGTCGCCCCACGCGCCGCCGCCGCTGCGCGTCGCCGCGCACCCCGTCTGGCGCGAACTGCGCGCGCGGAGCCGCGAGCTCGCGAGCTTGCTCGTGGACGACGACGCGGGCGCGGTCGAGGCGCGCGTGCTCGAGGCTCGTTTCTACGAGCTCGAGCGCGCGGACGTCAAGGTCGTCGAGGCCTTCAGCCGGGACGAGTGCGCTAAAGTGGCCGTGGCTTTAGACGATCTCGGCGCCTTCGCCGACGGCGCCGCGGCGACGAAGACGACGCAGCCCTACTACAAGCAGCGCGTCGACGACGCGACGAAGAAATTCGCGTTAGCGGTCCGCGACGCGGACGCGCGCGAGGCCGACTTCGCGCCGGACCGCGCGGGCCAGCGCTCCTTCCGCGACGGCGACGTGCGGCCCGACTTCCTGCGTTTACTCGCGTCGGACCTGCGGGCCGAGGACCGGCCCGCGGGCTACGTCCGCGTGCTCGCGGCGCGGCTCCTGCGGCTCGCGGCGCGCGCGCGGCGCACGGCCCTCGACGCGTTGCGCGTCGACGCCGACGACCCCGTGCGCCTCGATTCCCGCGACGACCTCGACGACCTCACGGGCGTGTCCTACGGCGACCTCGACCTGCCGGGGCTCGCGGCGGCGCCGCGGCGGCCGCCGGAGCGGCGGCCCGCGCCGGCGCCCGAGGGCCACGCCAAGCCCAAGGCGCCGCCCCAGAAGACCAAGGCCGAGGCCGCCGACATCGCCCTGGAGTCGGCGCGGGGCAAGATCGCCGCCTTTTCGCGCGACGGCGACGCGGAGATCGCGCGGCTCGTCGACGTGGCCACGGACCCGGCGGTCCTCTGCCACATGTACGAGGGCTGGGCGCCCTGGGTGTAAGCAGCGTCTTTAGTAACCTCCGACCGGGCAGTAGAAGTCGACGACGAGACCCGCGGCGTCGTCGGGGAAATGGGGCTTGCCAGTGCACTTGGCCACGAGGCCGACGAGGACGCGCTTGTGCTTCGCGGCGTGGGATTTCCAGCCGCCGCGGGCCTTGACGTGCTTGACGAGCGCGTTGGCCCAAGTATCATAGAAGAGACGCGAGTCGCATGGAGCCTCGGCACCCGCGCGGAGCAGCATCTTGGCTACTTCGCGGTTGTCTCCTTGGACTGCGGAAATGATGTGCTCGCCACCACGTCCAGGGCGATCAGTGACGCGCGCGCCAGAGTTGATCAGGAGCGCCGCACATGATGTGATCGTTTCTTTCCACTGGCCGCTTGACAACAAGCATAGGAGTGGAGTACGCTGAATCTCGTTCGTCGCGTCGATATTCGCGCCAGCCCCGAGTAAGAGCCCGATGCTACGTGCGACACCACGAGCAGCTGCGAAGTGCAGGGCGGTCGATTGGGCGTACCATTCGCGGACTGACGCCGATTTCAATTCCACATCAGCCCCGTGGTCCAGCAGGAGTTCTACCGCATCCGCGTGCCCGTTGAGTGCAGCGCACATCAATAGAGTACGTCCAGAGTATTCGGGAACGGAACCTGGCTCGTCAACGTTCGCTCCACTCTCAATGAGCGCGCGAAGCCGCGCGCAATCGCCGTCCAGAGCCGCGCCCCAAATCGTAGACATCCGCCCAGATCACGCAGAGTCCGGGGTCATCATAAGCTGCGGGTTCAAAAAAACACGAATATTGAACCGAAATAAAAACGCCGGGCAGCCTCTCCGCCGCCGGCGCCGAAGAGATCCTGCTGATGGCGTCCGCGGAGGCGGAGCCGGCCCACCTCTTCCAGGTCCTGCGGTGCAAGAAGCTCGCGCAGGCGTCGTGCTACGTCGTCGTGACGCACGGCGACGACGAGATCGGGCGCACGCCCACGGTCAAGGCCGCGGCGGACCCCGTCGTCTTCCCGCCGCTCGCGTCGACCTTCGCCGTGCCCCGCGGCGCCGAGCAGCTCGCGGTGAAGCTCGTCGCGCCGGGCGCCCTCGGCGACACGCCCGTCGGCACCGTGCGCGTGTCCCTGGCCAAGCTCCTCGACTACGAGGCCGCGACGTTCCCGAAATGCTACCCGAACTCGTGGTGGGCCGCCGCGGCCGCGGACGGCGCCAAGGTCCAGGTCCGCGCCCTCGTGCGGCGCCGGAAGCCGACGCCGCAGGCCGCGCCGGAGAAGGCGCCGTCCATGCGGCGCCTGACCTGCGGGCCGGGCCTCGACGGCGGGCTCCTCGGTCTGGGTCTCTTCGCGTCCGACTCCGAGGAGGCCGTCGTGTCCATGATGGACCGCGCCGTCGCGCCCGTGACCCTGCACGTGTATGATGTCGGGCGGTCGGTGCATACGGGCCGCATCAACTCCTTCGGCGCCGCCACGCGGGCCGGCGGCGTCTTCCACGGCGCGATCGAAGTCTACGGCAAGGAGTTCACCTTCGCGGGGTCCAACAAGGCCATGCCGGGCATCTTCAGCTCGAACCCGCGCAAGTGCCCCTTCCACACCTACCGCGAGTCCATTTACCTGGGGGACTGCGGCCTGACGCGGCGGCAGACGTTGGCCATCTTGCATCGCATGGCCGCGGACTGGATGGCGCCGACCTACAATTTACTCTTGAAGAACTGCTGCTTCTTCTGCAAGGAGTTTGCTTTGGAGCTCGGCGTGGGCACGATCCCCGGCTGGGTCTACGAGCTCGCGAAAGTCGGCGCGGGCCTCCAGGTCGCCTTCGGCTCGAAGCCGCTGCCCGTGCTGCCGACGCCCCAGGCCCACGCGGCGTCCGTGAGCCCGCTGCAGACGCCGAGGGACGTGCTGCTGACGTTGACGAGCGAAGGCAACCTCGGCGAGGACGACGGCGAGGACGACGACGACGCGAGCCCCTACCGCCTCTCCGTCGACCCCGGCGAGGCCCTGGTGGACAACTGCATGGCCGCACGCATCACGGCCGCGGCGCGGGCGAAGATGGGCCGGGCCAAGGCCCGGTCCCAGCGGGCGCTCCTCACCGCGAGCTCGGACCCGCGCGCCGCGGGCCGCAAGTCCGAGCCCGGGCCGGCGCCGCGCGAGAAGCGCGCGGGCAGCCTCCAGGACCGGTTCCGCGCGCTCTGGCGCGGCAAGTCGAGCGTCGCGTGAGTAATTGGTCGAGCGCGTACTCAGGGCGTGGCGACGTGCGTGGCGTGACCGTCACCGGCTCGCCCAAAGTACGATCCTTGGGCCCAAACTCCGCGCGGCCAAACTCGCCGGCCGAAGCCGTCGAATACAAACGCTGTTGGCGCGGCGCAGCGCATCCACGGGTGAAGGAGACGCGCCGGAAGCACAGAGATCGACGTAGGGAACACCGCGCGCCATGGGCAAGAAGCGCAAGGGCGCGAAGAAGCCCGCGGCGGAGCCGGCGCCGGAGAGCGCGGCGTCGCTGAGCAGCGGGAGCGACGACGAGCGCAAGGACCCCGGCGCCCCGTCGGGCGACCGCGGCGCGCCCCCGGGCGAAGCAACGACGGGCCGCGTGACCTACGACAGCGGCTCGAGCGACGGGTCCTTCGACTCGCGGCGCGACGACTCCGAGGGCTCGTCCGCGTCCGGGAGCGACGGCGGCAGCGACGTGAGCGAGCTCGACGGCGAGGGCTCCGAGGGCTACCGCGTCGGCGGCTACCACCCCGTGGCCCTCGGGGACGTCTTCAACGGCCGCTACACCGTCGTCGAGAAGTTGGGGTGGGGCCACTTCTCGACTGTTTGGATGGTCCGCGACGCGCTGAGCCAGGCTTTGGGCACGCCGCGCCTCGTGGCCCTCAAAGTCCAGAAATCGGCGAGCCACTACACGGACGCGGCGCTGGACGAGATCGACCTGCTGCGCCACGCGCGGCGCGTCGCCGACGACGAGGCGCAGGCCTGGGCCGAGGGCGGCACGGGCCCCTGCGGCGAGACGGACCCCGCGGAGACGTCGAGCCGCGTCGTGCGGCTCCTGGACCACTTCGAGCACAGCGGGCCCAACGGGCGCCACGTCTGCATGGTCTTCGAGATGCTCGGGGCGAATTTGTTGTCCGTGATCCGCAAGTCCGAGTACCGGGGCCTGCCCATCGATAGCGTCCGGAACGTCTGCCGCCAGATCTGCATGGGCCTGGACTTCCTCCACCGGCGCTGCTCCATCATCCACACGGACCTCAAGCCCGAGAACGTGCTCCTCAAGGCGCCCAAGTTCGCGCCCGACGGCGACGGGCCGCCGGACGCGGCGGCCGCGCCGCCGGCGCCCGCGGCGGCGGCGACCGAGCCCGCGGCGTCGCTCGAGGAGCGCATCGACGAGATCGCCTCGACGCTGCAGACGAGCGAGCTCAGCGCCGAGGAGCGCAAGCGCCTCAAGAAGAAGCTGAAGAAGCAGAAGCAGAAGCAGCGGAAGAAGGAGCCCGCCGTCGCCGTGGAACCCGCGGCGCCCGCGCCCGCGCCGCGCGCGGCGCCGCCGGTCGAGGAGGCCTTCGGGCGCGTCGACTGCGGGGGCCGCGTCGTCGCGTCGCGGGGCCTCGGGCCGACGCTGTCGCCGAACTTCGAGGCCGGCGCCGCGCGGGCCGCGCCGCCGCCGTGCCGGCGCCGCGACGACGACGACGCCGGCGGCGGCGGCGGCGACGACGACGAGCTCCGGAGCCGCGTGACCTTCCTGGCGCCCTGGCCCCGGGTCTACGGCGGCCTGGGCTGCGACCACCGCGCGACGCCCGCGAAACCGGCGTCGCTCGACGGCGGCAAGTGGCGGTGCGTGCTCGACGGGTCGACGCGGTTCGCCGTCGACGGCGACGGCCGCGAGGACGACGGCCGCCTCACGCGCGCGTGCGCCGCCGCGGTGGCCGGCGACGGCGACGCGGCCTTCGCCGACGACGCGGCGGTGTCCGCGTTCCAGCTGCGGGCCTCGGGCGACGCGGACGCGGCGAAGCTGTCCGCGTGGGCCGTCCGGTTCCACCCGTCGGCCGCGCTCAAGGTGCTCGGCCACCTCGAGCGGCGCATCCCGGGCCTGCGCTTCCTGAGCCTGCTGGCGCCCGAGGCCACGGGCTTGGCCGACCCCGCGCGCGGGCTCGCGGCGCTGGCGGCCGCGCGCGACTCCTTCGCGGCCTTGGTCGGCGTCGACCTCGCGTTCGTCGCCGCGGAATTGCCCGCCGGCGACGACGGCGTCGTCGCGACGCCCAAGCCCCTGGCGTCGCGCCTCGCGCTGGCGGCGGCGCGCGCGGGCGGCGACGACGACGCGCCGAGCCCCGTCCGCGGCGAGGACCCGCGGTCGCCGCGGCCCGGGAGCGACGACTTCACGTTCGACGACGAGGACCCGCGGGGCCTCAAGTCGCCCGGCGGCTGGTCGCCGCCGGCGTCGCCGCTGGCCGCGGGCGCGGGCGCGCCGCCGGCCGCGGAGACCGAGGCGCCGCCGCCGCCGCCGGACACCCCGGCGGCGCCCGCGTCGCCGCCGCGGCCGCCGTCGCCCGGCGGCGACGACGCGCCGTCGTCGCCCGAGGGCGACGGCATCCCCGACGACCTCGTGGACCTCCAGCACGCGGAGATCGCCGTCGTCGATCTGGGCAACGCCTGCTGGCGCCACAAGCACTTCACGGAGGACATCCAGACGCGCCAGTACCGCTCGCCGGAGGTCATCGTCGGCGCGGACTACGACACGTCCGCGGACGTGTGGTCGCTCGCGTGCATCGTCTTCGAGCTCCTCACCGGCGACCTGCTCTTCGACCCGCGGGCGGGGGGCGACTACGACCGCGACGAGGACCACCTGGCGCAGATGCAGGAGCTGCTGGGCCGCTACCCGAAGAAATTGGCGTCGTCGGCGAAGGCGCGCGCGTTCTTCAACCGCCGCGGCGAGCTCAAGCACATCCACCACCTCCGCTTCTGGGACCTGGAGCACGTCCTCGTCCAGAAGTACCACCACGACAAGGCCGAGGCGCGCGAGATCGCCCACTTCCTCGGGCCCATGCTCGACTTTTACCCGGACCGGCGCGCGACGGCGTTCGACTGTTTGCAGCACCCGTGGCTCAACCGGCCCAACGGGTCCAAGGCGCCGCCCGTGGACTCCGACGACGACGAGGCGAAGCGGTCGGAATCGAAGCGCGACGAGCCCCGCGACGACGACGACGACGACGACGACGACGACCTCAGCCTCGAGGACGACGACCGCGACGACGACCGCGACGACGACGACGACGACGCGACCGCGGACCCCATCGAGGTCGACGCGGCCGGCGAGATCATCGGCTCCGAGGAGGACGTCTAGGGCGCCCGCGCAGGGCGCCGCCCCGCCTCCCTAAACGCGCGGCGAGCACTATGAATGGCTAGGGGAAGAGCGCGCGGTACAGCGCGACGAGCAGGGCGGCGCCGGCGACCGCGAGCGCCAGCAACGTCTTCCGGTAGGCGAAGAGGTACAAACTCGCCAACTGCTGGAGGTACTCGACGTTCTGCTTCGGCGAGAGCTTGGACTCGCCGGCCGTGCGCTCGCGGAACGTGATGGGCACGTCGACGACCTGGGAGCAGCCGCAGCGGACCATGATCTCGAGGGCGATCTTGAAGCCGATGGGGTTCGGGTCGCCCCGGGCGAGGGTCTGCTTGCGCACGCAGAAGAAGCCGCTCATGGGGTCCGTCGACGCCGTCAGCGGGTACGCCAGCAGCGTCGCGCCCTTGGAGATGAGCCGCCGCAGCAGCGACCACTCGAAGCCGATGCCGCCGTCGCCCGTGTTCCGGCTGCCGATGGCGAAGTCCGCCGCCCCGTCGAGCACGGGCGCGCAGACGGCGGGCACGGCCTCGGGCTCGTGCTGGAGGTCCGCGTCCATGCAGACGCAGACGTCGTGCGCCGCCCGGGAGAAGCCGAGGAGCACGGCGCTCGACAGGCCGCGGCCCGCGGACCGCGGGCGCGTCTCGAGGCGCACGGCGTAGCCCTCGCCCCGCAGCGCGGCGACGATCGCCGCCGACTCGACCGAGCCCACGCTCTCGTCGTCGGCGAAGAGGAGGTCCACGTCGAGGGCCGCGGCGCGCGTCGCCTTGAAGAGCCGCTCCGTGAGCGGGCGCAGGTTCAGCGTCTCGTTGTAGGTCGGGACGACGACGCTGACCTGTTTTTTTGACATTTTGTGTCGTCGCGGTTGGCGCTGCGCACACGACCTCGACGCGGCCGCACTCGATGCCACAGCCTCGGAGAGAGCCGCTCAGCTCAGCGAGCCTCAACTGCGGCAAACATGCCGTAGTTTTACCCCTTGCGCGCCTTGTAGAGGAGGGCCTCGCGGAGCGTGTCGCACTGGGCGTCGATGTCGTCCTCGTCGAGGCCCTCCTCCTCGAGCTCGTCCCGGAGCTCGAGGACGGAGAGCTCGATCTCGCGCTTCGCGTCCCGCGACGGCCCGGCCTCCGCGGGCGCGGCGGCCGCGGCGGCCGCCGCCGCCTCCGGCTCGTCCGCGTCCTCCTCGTCGACGCGCGCGCGCTTGGGCTCGATGGCGAACTCGTCGTCGTCGTCGACGGCCTGGCGCTTCGCCTCCTTTACGAGCGCCTCCGCGGACGCGAACGCGTTGCCCGTCGCGCCCGTGCGCTCGCGCACGGCCTGGTTCGCGGCGGCGGCGGCGAGCCAGTCGTCGGCCTCGACGACGCAGGCAGACCCGACCTTGGGCGCCGACAGCGCCTCCTTCTGGCGCGCGCTCTTCGCCTGGTTCATGATGCGGCTCGACGCGCTCGACGCGTGGCCGCCGGACACGCCGGACCAGCGCAGGCCCCCGCCGAGCTGGGACATGGTGGGCTTCTGTGTTTTGTGCTTGGGTTTTTTTTTTTTTTGCCGCGGGCGCAGGCGAGTTGGGCTTGCCGGCGCCGAGGCTGTGGAGGGAGCTGGGGTGATGTTGTTGGGATGTTGTTGTCTCTGCAGCTTTCGGCGTTGCCGTCAACTACATCGAGAGCTGCCCCTGGATCCCAGCGCCGATGCAACGATGTTCAGGAAGTGAGCTGGCCCGCGCGAAATGAGCGAGCCGCTCGTGGAGCTGCTCGAGGCGGAGCTGCGCGTGGGCAGCCACCCGTTCCGTTTCCTCGCACCAAAGGACCTGGCCCGCGTCGCCGCGGCGAGCCGCGCGTTCCACGGCGGTTTCGACTACGGCAAGGTGCGCGGCCTCGTGGCGACGTACGTCAGCGACGTCTGCGAGGCGCTGGACCTCCAGCGGAGCGCGCGCACGGACCACGGCGAGCCCTGGTGGAGCTGGTACAGGGCCGTCGCGCCGCACGCCGCGAGCGCAGCCGCGCCGCGCGAGCTCTGCGGCGCGGGCTGCGCGCCCATGTGCGTGCTCTACGCCCTCCTGGCGACGCCGGACCTCGCGTCCTACTTCCGGCGGGGCACGGACGCGCTCGAGCGCAACGACGGCGAGACGCTCGGCAGCGGCGGCGCGCTCGCGCGGCGCGGGGCGGCACACGGGCGCGACGTGCCCAACTTCAGAGGCTCCTAGCTCGGCCGTTTGCCACTCGTTTCGGCTGACTTTTGGACGAGCGATCATCGCTCGAAACGGTCTCGAAGCGTGGATTCTGGAACGCGCGCGCGCGGAACGCTCACATTGAAGCGACGTCGAATCGCCCCGTTCCCGCCCAGGCGCGGCAGCTCCGCAAGGTCTTCGCGGGCGAGCGCGCCGCGGGCGACGTCTTCGCGGCGCTCAAGGCCGCGCGGCCGGACGTCGGCGAGGCGCCGGGCGCTCTGCTCGGGGCGCTGCTCGACGTGCTCCACCACGACCTCAATTTGTTCCGCGGGGAAAGGGAGACGCTGGCGTGGTTCTACGACGACAAGAAGTCCGACGAGGTCAACGCCAAGGGCGCCGCGGACGTCGACGCGTCCCTGGACCTGTCCATCGTCCGCGACGTCTTCCTGGGGCGCCTCATGCGCACGCACCGGCCCGCGGCGGAGCCGGGCGAGGTCGCGACGAAGGACTTTGGGGCGTTCCTCGTGCTGCCCGTGCCCGACGGCGGCCCCGACCTCGCGGCGTGCCTCGCGCGGCTCTTCGAGGAGCCGGAGCCCAAAGCCGACGTCGAGTTCCACGGCGTCGTCGGCGACGGCCAGGGCAGCAAGAGAGAGCGACATTCCCAACTTCAAAGGCTCCTCTCTCGGCCGTTTTCCGCTCGTTTCGGCTGATTTTTGGACGAGCGATCATCTCTCGGAACGGTCTCGAAGCGTGGATGTGTTTTCTGTAACGCGCGCGCGCGGAACGCTCACGTTGAAGCGACGTTGAATCACTCTTTCGCTGCCCAGGCGACGGCTTCGTGAAGACGCGGCTCTGCGTCGCGCCCGAGCATCTCGTGAAACCACCGCGCGGAACTCGAATCTTCCACCCGACTTCAATGGAGAGCGGTCTCGACACAAAGCTCTTCGACCGTGCTTCGAGAACTCGACGAGAGCCATCGATTCGTCCAAGTATCACCCGAATGTGACCGAGCGAGATATCTCCGAGTTTGGCCGTCCCGGCTCACCGGTTGAGTTCCACGCAGGTGCTCCAGGTGCCCGCGGGCCTGCGGACGTTCCCCGCGCGGAACCTGGACCTCGCCCCCTGGGCCATGCCGGCGGCGAAGCAGGCGCACCCCTGCTACGACCTCTACGCCGTCGTCGGCGAAGCGGCCGACGGGTCTCCGGTCTCCGTCGCGCTCGACGCCGTGAGCCACGACTGGGTCGAGTACGCGCCATCGCGGGGCGCCGCGGCGCCGGCGCCGCCGCCGCCCGCGGGGTCCACGGCGCCGGCGCTGCTCTTCTACCGGCGGCGCGACGCGACGCTCCTCCGCCGCACGGAGGGGCCGCCCATCAAGCACGTGTCCTTCTACATCCCG